ATAGAGAGAGCCCTCTTATGTCAGGAGATGTCTCTCCTGACATAACATTCCTTTAATTGGATTAAAATTTTCAATATACATATATATATATATATTATATTTATTTCGATAGATCAAACTAAAACATACCGATAACATCATAAATGATAATCATTTTTTATGAATTACATTTTTAAGCATTTGTGCATAAATTTTTGTTGTTATATCCATAGGATAATAAAGATTATTAAAATCTTCTTTAATAATATCGATTGATATTATTATTGATTATATTTATAAAACTTAATGGGCAATATTTCGTTAATAATTGTTTATTTAATATTTATTCATCAAGTGTTAACGTCATTTCAATACGATTATAAACAATTAATTCAGCTAAACATAATACAAATGTATATGATAATAGAAGAAATTATTCAATTAATAAAACTAATAAAAAAACCATTATCATCTAAATGTATTTCTTCACAAATGAATAAATGACTTGCAACTGATGTATAGATGTATAAGACCAAATATAATTTATGATAATATATTAAATTATAATAAGATTGTAATTAATCATTTATGAATAAGTGTGTTATTAATGATGATGGTGTTTATATTGATGACCATCATGCTTCTTGTGCGCATTATCAAGTATATTCAGAATATGTATTCATTATCGTAGCTTCTCAAAAGAGATACTTTTTAATTAAACATTTCGCTATTTAAAGAAAGCTTTGGCTATTTAAAATTCTCAAAAGAGATACTTTTTAATGAAATGTTGCTATTTAAAGGAAACTTTGGCTATTTAAAAGCTTTGATACTGTGTTTTTCATAGTTAGCTAGCAATTTAAACAAAATAGCAGTGACACTGAATTATTTAAATAGCTGCGTGGCTCATTGTTTTGCGTTCTGGTTTTTTTGAATTCATCCTCACATCAACCAAGCAACCTCCCTGCTCGTGGTTTATTTTGTTTTTTTCGAAATAAAAGATATTAGATGATAAAGAGATAAAATAAAAAAAAACGAATTCATCTTCACATCAACCAAACAATCCTCTGCTCGTGATTTATTTTATTTTTTTTGAAGTAAAAGATATTAGATGATAAAAAGATGAAATAAAAAAAAACAATCCATCCTGATATCAACCAAACGCAAACCCCTGATCGTAGTTTATTTTTTTTTCAAAGTAAAAGATATTAAATGATAGAAAGATTACATAAAAAAAACGAATTCATTCTCACTCAACCAAACAAATCTCTACTCATGGTTTATTTTGCTTTTTTTTATTAAAGTAAAAGATATTATATGATAAAAAGATGAAATAAGGAAAAAACGAATTCATCCTCATATCAACCAAACAAACCCTGTTCTGAAGAATCAGCAAGGTAGGATGAATATTTGAGCAAAATATCTACTAGTGATGATAACGTAGTATTCTTTTTGATGCTTATAAGAATAAACATATAATTGTCAGTGTTTTTTATTGTTAGAAATCTCAGACTATGATTTAGGTTTTTTTTCTTTTCTATCGCAACTTTAAATAGTTGCAAGATATTTAGATAGCAATGATAAGATAAAATAGGCAAATGAATAATTAAATTGCTATGCAAATCATTAAATAGCTACAAAATCTTTAGAAAGCTATGATAGGATTAAATAGCCAAATGAATGATTAAATAGCTATGTAAATCATTAAATAGCTATAGCAACTTTAAATAGCTACAAGATCTTTAGATAGCTATGATAGCATTAAATAGCTATGCAAATCTTTAAATAGCTATAGCAAGTTTAAATAGCTGCAAGATCATTAGATAGCTACGATAGGATTAAATAGTCATGCAAATCTTTAAATAGTTATAGCAAGTTTAAATAGCTGCAAGATCTTTAGATAGCTATGATAGCATTAAATAGCCAAGTCAAAGATTAAATAGCTATGCAAATCATTAAATAGCTATAGCAACTTTGAATAGCTACAAGATCTTTAGATAGCTATGATAGCATTAAATAGCTATGTAAATGATTAAATAGCTGTGCAAGTCATTAGATAGCTAAAGCAACTTTAAGTAGCTATAGGATCTTTAAATAGCTGTGATAAGATTAAATAGCTATAGCAACTTTAAATAGCTAGAAGATCTCTAGGTAGCTATGATAAGTTTAAAAAGCCATGTGAAAGACTAAGTAGCTATACAAATGATTGAATAGCTATGGAAGCCTTTAAATAGCTATGGCACGTTTAAATAGCTATAAGATCTTTAGGTCACTATGACAGTATTAAATAGCTGTGACAATGATCAGTAGTTAGACTAGGAAATCATTGAACAAGTTTCTCTTCGAAGTCATTTGATGCTAATTATACACAAAAAGAAATTGTATCTCTTTTGAGAATGAGCCATTCATTATAATAATAATTTAAAATATTCATTTAAACTAGTTAAACATGAAAATATATCAAGACAATATACAGTTTCATCATGAACTAATGATTGACGAAAATCATTTAGAATTTTTTCGAAATTATTTAGCTAAAATAAAATTATAGATCTTATAAGAACATAGAAATTTTTTAAGTCAAATGTTTTATCGCTAGCTCATTAGTAATTAATGAAATGCAAGAAAGTTTTCTTCTCAAATGAATGGGTGATATGTTACTATCATATAGATTATGATGAGAGCTTAAGATCTTTTGACTTTGATAGAAACTAGTTATTATCTGCTCAGTTACTTTCTTTTTTCTAAAGTTTCAAATCGAAATTTTAAAATCAATCATTCTGGCGCTCGTTACAAAGATGACAAGTTCAGCTAAAAATAATATTCCTACTGTTGAACTATCATATTCATGTCTACAAATACACTATTATTTTGATTCATTACTATTTTTCATAATATGCAGAGAAACTAATGTCATATTGATTTGACCACGTTATTTTCCGAAAATTCGTGATATTACGTCATGTGAAATTCGAAGAGGAGCTCTAAAAACAAAAGTAAGAATCGTAGTTTTTAAATTATAAATAAAATCATTGCGAATACTTACTCACTAAAAGTTTCATCTCGTAACCAACAGGAAAATTTCATAAATAAAAACAAACTAACATTTCTAATTGTTGATACTCGAAAAGCAACAGCAAATGGATCAATAGGTCGTAATTCAAATGATGATGCAACATCAAATAGTGTTGATTATGTTGAATAAATATCCAAAAGTGATTGATCCTATTTGAAAAGAAACAGTAACCTATAGTCGAAGATTATTAAACAGAGAAAAATAACCTTAGATAAACCAACAGTAAGATGAACAAGAAGTACATCGACAATTTGTCATGAAAAACGTTTTCATTTATTACCTTCATTTCGAACACTATCAACAATTGCAAAGTTTATAAAAATATCAATTCTATTATTGCTTTTTTTAGTACGTAGAGACGATATGAAAAGATTCTTTTATTTCCAATAATTAAGATGCCTACTTTTCCTTCAAACTTTTAATTGTCGTATCTTTTATCAAATATATAACTGAATATTGTTATTTCCAAATATTGTCGAACTCTTAGCATCAACAATATAGTTATTTTCAGATAATTGATTCGTTGGAGTTTAGGGGTGGGTTCAATTGAGGAGGAAAATTACACCTATACATACTTTCGAGTTTCTATGATATTTGAGAGCTTATAGAGGAACATCTTTTGTTCACTCTCATTTAATGTAACTTTTTAGAAATTTTAATTATTCGTATGGTGACTATTTCTTATAATATCACACTACTTTATTATATCGGACAAGTTCAAGTAAGGTTTCAACAAGAAATAAATCATATACAACTGGTACTAATGCTGCTAAAGCTAAATAAAGAATTTTAACGATAACTTATTTTTCTCGAAAATATTTTTTTTTGTTTTTACTTCCTACCATGTGTTTCAAGTTCATGTTCGCTTGCTAATAATTAATCACAATATTTTACTAAATCTTGTACTTAAATAACTTGTTTTGAATGAAGTGTATCATGTGATAACATAACAAGGAATTTAGCAATACTATAAATAAAATGTGATAATATATCATAATCTGGCATAGTTTCTTAAATCATTTCCAGTTGATAGATTATATGAGTAAGAAAATGCTGTTTAAAAAATAAACGAAAATTCATCAGCATTTAATCAACTATAATTAACACGAATTAAAAGTAATTGAACAAGTAAATCGAGTTCAATAAAAACTAAAATAGAAAACAAAAAAAAGTAGAATAGATCAAATTCGTTTTTTTTGTTTATTTTACTCTCGCATTGCACTATATTCTATGGATTGATCACTATTTATATTTGATATATAACGTGAACCAAATCAAATAAATAATCAATTGTCGAATAGTTATTGTATGAATATTATTTAAAGAATTATATATTGGTACTTGTGAGGTAACAATTGAATATTTTGTTTTAGCAGATGATGATGAAACGATTGCTAATTAGTATAGGTTTAATGAAAACTAAATTAAAAGAATATTTTCAAATGAATGTTGTGTTAGCAGAAAAAAATAATTTTCAAATTTCGAATTTCAAGAGAGAACCAAATGAAAAGATGTGGCACTTTCACAATAAACTATTCTCTCATTAAAACCGTCAATATTTGCAAAATCAGTTTTTCTGTTACTATGATATTCTTATATTGAAATTTTCTGTTTCTGGATTAGACTATTCCTGAAATCTTGATTATAAGATTTCCATCTAAAATTCTGTCCACAGACAAGTCTTGGATAAGAGACTATCACAGAGTATTTCTTTTCTTGACCTGCCCTAAGAAATGGACATAGGGTGTAGACAGAGTAGAATAATACTTATAAAGTGACTATATCTATTGCAAGATTTTAAGTTTTAATAAAATAAAGATATTCTCAGGTGCTTTTAGTGACTAAACCCCATCCTAGAAAAAAGAAGAGAGTAATTTTAGTTGCAAAACAACATTTATTTTTTACTAGGGTCACATTTTCTTTATTTTATTTTACGTATATAAGTACAATTTTTATATTAATAAAATAAACATCAGTAAATTTTTTATATTTTTTAAATAAAGATCAAAAATTTTTTTATTTTTCCAAAAATAAAAATAAAAAAAAATTAAGATAAACGAAATCTTCATATTTACAAAATAAAAATATAGATTTTTTTCTTATTTACCACCTTTATATAAAGTAAAGAAAACAAAAAATAAATAATGAAGAAACCTCTTCTATGAGAATTTCATCTTTAATTTTTCACCAACTAGCTCACCAAAAAGGTGCGACACCATAGATGGAAATTGTTTCATGTATTCGCTTTATTGTCTAATAATATGACATGTCGAAGTGATATTCATGGCAAGAAAGAATATTGCTTCACATATTCAGTTGTTATACTATGTATTCGTCTATCTATCTATAAAAGAACAAATTTTTCTTTATTCTTTAATTTTCAAAAATAAATAATTCATCTATCTTCATTTTATAAATATAAACATTTATTTTTATTTATACTTATTCTTTCCTATTATACAAAAATAAAGTTATAACTGAAAAACAAAGTTTCGTTGTGCTGAATTTCATAAAGTCAGAAAAATTTTCGACATAAAATTTTAAAGAACTCATATGTCTTCTGTTATGTTTTATGAAATTCTTTTAGTGCGTCGTGGTCTTCTAATATAAAATATGATCTTCTATTCTTGACTTGTATTTGATAAAAATCGACCATCTTTTAATTTCATCGATTAAAATTAGATCTTCTGAATGAAAGGCAACTTTTCTTTCTTGTAGTTTTTTCTGTGCTCATCAAATTTTTAAGGAAAAGTAGTCAGTTCATATTCAGATTTCTTAAGACGTGTAGCAGAAAAAACACTCGATTACATTTCTAATCAACTTCATTTTATAAACAAGGTTCAATTCATTCAAAATTATTTGTGAAATGACAATCAAAATGAATTGAAGATGAAATAATTAGATTAAAATCGACTAAAAACATTCGTATTTTAATCGATTGTTTAATCAGAAAAATTAAACTGGAATTAGCCTTTTTTTTTAATTTTTTTGGTATAGGTTAAACGTTTTTGCCCCGCCAGCCAGTCTCTGGTTCAGACCCAATACGACATCCTAAAGATTTTAGCTCAACCGATTAGTAGAAGATTAATAACTGAAATTTTCTAACTAATATGTACTATTTAAAAGAAGTTTTATCTCTTTTGTATATTGAACGTTGATTTAAAATAATTAAGTGTTGCTTCCAAATTTTTTAATAAATCTTGTGTAGAAATAAGACTTACTACTGATTTTATAGAAAATAATGTTGTTGAAAGTAATCGTTCAAAATTAACTTTTGTATCTTTATTTTTGTTTGATATTATTGATGAATCTTTATCATTCTCTAAAACAAAAAAACAAATGAATTCATTCAGACAAGACATGATCCAATACATTCTTCGAATCTAAAACTTTAGAACTCCTTTCTTCTACGAAAGTTGAAATATCAATTATAGAAAATGATCTTCTGCCCAAAAGAAAATGATGATTGTGAAGTTTTTTGCAATAGTTCAAGAGCATTAATAAAATAATTCAATTTTTGAATAACTTGAATCATTTGTGCTACTTTAAAAACATTTTTTCATTTGTTAAGATTTGATAAATCTTCAAAAAATTAAATTATTATTCTCGAGTAATAATTGTAAATTTTTAAGATCATTTCATATAAATAGATGTATAAGTAAACAAAGTTTATCATATTGATTATGAAAAAAAAATGATCGAATTGTTGTTGATCCTAAAACATTTGAAAGAGCATAAATGCCTTCTAAACATTCAACTTATATAAAAGACAAAAATAACAAACAATTTATATTCGAGTGGATGTTTGAGCTAAACAATGAAATATTAATGTTGGTAAGCATGATATTGTTTCCAATTGCACTCCATCATTGAATATAATTACAGAAGTATTTGTTTGTTGTAATGAATAATAAATTTTATGCATCCATTGACAGGAAGAATTGATCCATTTAGGTAAATAATGTATTGACCATTGATATACTAAAAAAATGAATTGTGATTAACAAACCTTAAAATCAAAAAGTAGCTAGTAACTAACTTAGTACAATAAAATCGACTGATGCATTCAACTTCAAAAATAAAACTATCTAGTTAACTAACATCTCTACAATTGACATACTTAGCAAAAGTTAAAGTAGCTGCTGGACGCACACTTGTATCATTATTAGTAAGAAATAGAAAGATAATGTCAATACAATAATCAAGTCATGATCGATTCTAAAAATAAAAGTAAAACAAAAAAAAACAAGATATTGTTTTTATCTTCTATATGTGATTAGTTTTAATTTACTGTTTTTTTTTATCTGTTATTGTTGTTGTTCAAAACAAGTTAGTATTCGAGAAAATCAATATTGCGCACAATTTGAGCTAGAACAACCTATTTTATACACATAAACAGTTTATTGTAATCATAAGTTTCATTTGTCTACTTTAGCAAGAATTTAAGAACTTGTACTGTGTTGAGTAGAATCTTCTAATAATTCAATTCCTATGATTGTAAAAGTATAACATGTGTATTATTATCCTAAAGACATAATCGAAATGTAGAAAGTAATTCTGCTAATATACCTAATTGAATATATTTGAAAACAAAAAGAAAAAATATTTTTATCAAAAACAAGAGATGATTTAATATTCTAATCTAATCTTGAACTGTCTTGTGAATCAATTGATACAAGTGAATATTCATTAATAAAAGAATTATTAAATGAATTTGATAATGATAATAGTCTTAAAAGAAGAATTGTTCTTTTTAATTAATGTAGCAAGGAAAGAAATTTGCATATGTATCGCATAAATATAGATCGTCTACCTCGATGTTCGATAGATTTTAATGCATTACAAGTCATATAGAGATAAGAATTTCATATCAATTAGAAAATTTTTATTTAATCAGAAATCTTCAAAGATTAAAGAAAAACTCATTCGAGAATACAATTGATTTCATATCATAATGAAAAACCGAACATCTCTTTCGTACTAGATATGTACAGAATTCGTACTTTAACTTCGAACTTTGTTTTTGAGGTAATTATGTGATGGTATAATTTCAATCTCTGATATATAAAGACTCTAAAACTTTTGTATGTCTAACCTATTTAGTAAAGTGTTCTACTTGATATATTTTCGAGTCTGATAATGTTGTAGTCTTTTGTTGATTTCAAAAAGATTAAAATTTCGTACTGTTTTGTTTCAACAATTCAATAGTAAAATCTTCATATCTATCAGATAACTCTCACTAAAACTTTGAGACCATACCCAATTGAAGCCACGTTAACTAAACTCTGCTACAAGCTCCTTCATCGGATTTATCCTATTCATCTGAGTTCTCCTACTGTTACAACATTGGAAATAATTTTGGATTATAAAATAAATGTATTTTACTGAACTGAAACTTTACAAAAAAAAAAGTCTCAAACAAGCATTAAACATACTTACAGTAGGATAATCAAATTATTAACACATTGAGCAAATGTCTAATTGGAAAAAAGAAACATAATTGATTAACAAGTTTAGCAACTGATGTTTGTTTTTCATTATTAATCATTGATTTTGAATATAATTCATCATTCATTTTATATACTAAAATATCGTGTTGTTTATTCATTTCAATAAATCAACGTTGATATGTTGAATAATCTATTATTTTAGAAAAGATAAAAACTTGTTGTTCTCTTTTTACAATATTTACCTGTGGTTAATGTGTGACTAATACAAGTTACTTCTATAGATCCAATTTAAATTGAAATTAATAATTGATCAAAATCAAATAAATTTAAATATAATTTCATGTGTTTCCAATGAATTTCATATTACATTATGATCTTTTATGTTGTAAACAAATATAAAATATCGTATCAACATATTAAAAAACAAAGATTTACATAGAAAATAAAATCATTCATTATTTATCAAATACTGATTGAAAGATGTTGTTCATTTGTACCAATATTTCCAGTTCTTGTTATTGGTCGTTGACTTTTTCTTGATGCTGATTGAAATTTTTTGATATTTAATTTAAGATAACCAATTATTAAACTTGTACTATGATTTTGATTATGATGCTCAAATAATTGATCTGTTAAAATAAAAGACAAATTATAATTAATTGAAATAATTATTTGAAAGAAAACTTACCAATTACATTTATCATTAGAAAACGTGCTATAATCATAGGATAACATAATGACTGAATAGGACATGAGAGGTTCCTGAAAATAATTTATTATTAATATTAGGAAAAAAAAAGAAAAATTCATTCTCACTCGACTTCATACCTTAACTATAACGATTGCTAGTGAATCAACTATGACTAATTTATTTCATTTCTCATTGATATTTAATGATAAATAAAATTTTATTATTCTTACTGCAAATGATGAACAGTTTCTCAATCGGTATTTCGTCGAATAGTATGAGACTACCTATTCTACAATCATTTTCTATGTTTCTATTCAATCGCATAACTTTTTTCTGATTACTTCTTTAGAAGAGGTTTCTTAGATGACAAGAATTTTCTTTTTTACTTACTTTGATTTTTTCATCATTAATTGATCAACCAAGAATCCAAAAAAAAAGTTCATTATAGTCTAATAAAATGATTGAATCTTTTTCGAATGTATGGCAATTGCTGATTCGTCAAATCGCCATAGAACATCTAATTGAAATAAAACAAACCTTTGAATGCTTTTTATTCAACATTAGGATTATCTTTTATAATCCTATTTTATAATTCATACAAAATTATTAAAAAAAAAGAATTTCTTTTATAATAGTCGTAACTGATTTAAAATTATTTTCACTTTTATCTCTAGATCAAAAAAAACTTTTGATAACATGTTGTTGTTGAAAATAATTTTAAAACTTCAAGTGATTTACTTAGTTTATCCATTTTGTTTATTTTATATTCAATTCATTTATTTTAAAGCTAAATAAATAAGTTTAAACATTTTTTGATAATCATAATAAATGAAGGAATAGTTGACAGAAAAAGTCCAACGTCGATTGAATATTCACCTTCATCAGTGAATGAACGAAAAACTATTCTACAACAAATCTTTATATTAGATCCATAATTTTTACTGTAAATTATTATTTAAAAAAAATCAACTACTGCACTTGATCTATTTGAACTTCTGTTTTATTATATTATATTCAATCAATATGATCGTAAAATAATATTTTTGTAAAACCTGATGTAATAAGTGACACAAATGATTAAATTTATATAAATTCCTTTTTCATTTTCTTCTTTCAATTATCTCTTATATATATGTATGTTACTAATCAAAGAGAATAGCCGATAATTTTTTTTTCTGTTCTTCTTTCGTTCAGTCATCACTCTTATAGCATGATATTGAGCGCACGACATATAAGTTGTTCTTACACATTCCAGATGAAAAGAAAAATAAATTGAACATAACATGTGTAAAGACGACATAGATATCGTGCCCTCAATATCACAGCATGAGTCAAAACAACCGGTTGTCATCATACACTGTGTATTAAAATTCCGTCGACGTCGTCTTTCTTCATGTCTTTTCGTTTCTGTTTCTTCTCGTTCTTCGTAACAGAAGAAGAAAAAAAATTTTAAACAAATGGAGCTTTCGAGGGTGGCTCTAAAAAAAATGAACCTTCCCAGGGATATCCGACGTTCTGTTGGTTACCTGTACAGGCGTGTAAATGGTAGGCCTTCATAACATACATCTATGTATGTATGATTAGAAGCATCCATCTCGTCATTGTCTTTCCGAAGATAATGATCATGGATGTACTAGTCATACATACATAAATATATGTTTGCCTTGTGATTGCCGGCTTTGTCCACTGTACAACTCAACAGAATACGGAGGATATCCCTTGTCGCGCGTGTGCGAAACTTGTGTAGTTGGTGCGCTTCGGTGAGCCAAACGTGTTCAAGAAGGTCAATTTATTTTCTTGTTTGAAAAAAACAATTACATTTTCTTTTTTACGTTTTCAACATGCATTTGCGATTTCGGAATATATGGATGTGTCGGTGGAAGGCTTTTTTTGAAGATATCGCGTGTTTGTTCAAGGAATGAAAGTGCTTTTGAGTATTGTCTCATGCTCTCATATAGCATACCAATGTTCCCGTAGGAAGCAGCCAAGTCGGGATGATTTGGAGGGAGAGCTATTTTTTGGATTTCAAGTGATCGTTCGTACGATGAAAGTGCTTTTGAGTACTCGCCCATGTTATCATACACTGCACCGATGTTGTTGTAGGAAGCAGCCAACGAGGGATGATTCGGAGGGAGAGCTATTTTTCGGATTTCAAGTGATCGTTCATACGATGTAAGTGCTTTCGAGTACTCGCCTATGTTATCATACACTGCACCGATGTTGTTGTAGGAAGCAGCCAAGTCGGGATGATTCGGAGGGAGAGTTATTTTTCGGATTTCAAGTGATCGTTCGTACGATGAGAGTGCTTTCGAGTACTCGCCCATGTTAATATAGACATTACCGATGTTGAGGTCGGAAGTAGCCAAGTTGGGATGATTCGGAGGGAGAGCTATCTTTCGAATTGCAAGTGCTCGTTCGTGCGATGAAAGTGCTTTCGAGTACTCGCCCATGTTATTATACACCATACCGATGTTGTTGTAGGAAGCAGCCAAGTCGGGATGATTCGGAGGGAGAGCTATTTTTTTGATTTCAAGTGATCTTTCGTGCGATGAAAGTGCTTTCGAATACTCGCCCATGTGAGAATACACCATACCGATGTTGTTGTAGGAAATAGCCAAGTCGGGATGATTCAGAGGGAGAGCTATTTTTTTGATTTCAAGTGATCGTTCGTACGATGAAAGTGCTTTTGAGTACTCGCCCATGTTATCATACACTGCACCGATGTTGTTGTAGGAAGCAGCCAACGAGGGATGATTCGGAGGGAGAGCTATTTTTCGGATTTCAAGTGATCGTTCATACGATGAAAGTGCTTTCGAGTACTCGCCTATGTTATCATACACTGCACCGATGTTGTTGTAGGAAGCAGCCAAGTCGGGATGATTCGGAGGGAGAGCTATTTTTCGGATTTCAAGTGCTCGTTCGTACGATGAAAGTGCTTTCGAGTACTCGCCCATGTTATAGTACACCGAACCGATGTTGTTGTAGGAACCAGCCAACGAGGGATGATTCGGGGGGAGAGCTTTCAGACTGATCTCCAGGTGTTTTTCGTAGTATGTAAGTGCTTTTGAGTACTCACTCATGTTTTTATACACATTACCGATGTTGTTGTAGGAAGAAGCCAAGTCGGGATGATTAGGAGGGAGAGCTATTTTTTTGATTTCAAGTGATCGTTCATACGATGAAAGTGCTTTTGAGTACTCGCCCATGCTATCATACACCAAACCGATACCTTGGTAGGAAGAAGCCAAGTTGGGATGATTCGGAGGGAGTGCTATTTTTTGGATTTCAAGTGATCGTTCGTGCGATGAAAGTGCTTTCGAGTACTCGCCTATGTTATCATACACCGAACCGATGTTGTGGTAGGAAGCAGCCAACGAGGGATGATTCGGAGGGAGAGCTATTTTTTTGATTTCAAGTGATCGTTCATACGATGAAAGTGCTTTCGAGTACTCGCCCATGCTATAATACACTGCACCGATACCGTTGTAAGAGTGAGCGAAATCGGGATGATTCGGAGGGAGAGTTTTCTCTTTGATATCTAAAGATTTTTGATAAAATTTGATGGCCTCATCGTATTGTCCTAGATTATCCTTAATCATTCCAAGACAGTGATAACAGTAGGATTCATCATCTTCGTTTGATGTCTCGTTGAGTAACATGTTGTACAATTCTTCGGCTTTATTATTCTCGCCGAGTTTCCATAACAATAAACCCATTTTTTGCCATCCTGTACCAGTAATCTCTTTTCGTAATTGTTTGGTGAGATCACTTAGCTGATGATCATCGTTGTCATTTGTGAGTGTTAGGTGTACTTGCTGTAATGTTCTTCCATTTTCTTTCATGGGTTCGATTTTCTGGACGCGAAAAATGGTATGAGTAGAGAAGAGAATCTCTTTTTCATTTGGATACTTGCTAATGGCACTGACGGAGGCAAAGATCGCTGCTGATGATGGTGAAGATGAATGTGATCGATTAATTGTTATGATGAATAGTACAGCGATCATATTATCGTCAGTAGACGAAGTAAAGCGCAGTGCAATCATGCGATCTTCACTTGTTGATAAAAAACTATTAAAGGATATTAGTTTATCTTGTTTAATTTTGTTTCGAAAATCTTCCTTTCTCATGCTTTGACCTCGATAGACAGTACTTGGTAAAGTAATTGCCTGAGTTCCATTAGATTGTTCGAGATGAAGTTTTTCGATATTATGGTGAACGTCACAAATGAAGAAACCCATTTTTAGAAGAGTACTGACGTCTAGAGAGCGTAGAGCTTTGTTGACAAGTTGGTACGTAAAACATTGCTGGGTGTACCACCAAATGGGTTTGTCATCGACATTTCCGGGATGATGTTTACCATGTTTATCAATAACTTCAAAGGTTATATTATCGTCACCGTACTCTTCACCGAATTTATTGATAAGTTTCAACCGTGCATTATTTTCGACATAGTCCGGGTGTTTACGGGCATATTCGACTAATTCTTTCACTTCTTTCGTTTTATCAAAATCGATTGTGAGAATAATTTCTTTGAAAAGTTGTGTATACATGAATGAGGGTTCGATTTCAGAACCGATTGGGACAGAATCTTCGTCACATTGTCGAGCAGATTGTCGAACTGCATCACAAATTGGAATAATTTCCGTGAAAATACCTTTCACTTTGGAGCAGTCTTTTGCCCATTCTTCATACTTTTCTTTTTTTTGACTGAACACATAAATTGAATACAGTTGTGTCATATTATGTATGTGTGGCACAACACTGTTACATAAAGCACCAGAAATAATAAGAAGTATTTTTTGGTTTTGAAATTGTAGCATATACTCGACACATTCATCAGTGTCGCAGAATGTTTCAATCTTATTAACGGTACGTCGTAGCTGTTTGATTGAATGACCATAATCGTCTACTGATTCATCGAATTTTTCATCCAACCATACAAGAAGAAAATTTTGAACAAGTTCATCTAAAGGTACTACGATTCGACTACGATCTCGTTTTGGATTTTGATTTAAATCTAATTGTTGATTTAATGTAGTGGATGATGTTGGTAATAATGATGAACGTTCGTTGGATAGATTGCCTATTGGCATTGGCGCGGATGCTCCACAATCCATATTGATTGATTGTATGTGACGTAAATATAGATAATAAATATTAAAGAATGTTAATCTGAAATCACAAATGAATGAATGAAAATGCTAATCAAAGAGAATGAAAGCTTCTTGGTTTATTTTATCATCTATCAATGTTCTTTTATTTTTGTGCTTTTTTCCGACATAGAGACATGTTACCTAGCGTTAATTTGAAAAAGACGAAGGAAGGAGGAGCATTGTTTTATATGATTGTAAATTTATTTTGTCTTATTTACACGGTTCCTTATCAATTAATCTATTATAATTTGCTCTTACCTTTTAATCCATTACAATTTTATATATTGAAGATAAGTGATTTTCTCGAGATTCGAACATGAAATCTAAAATTTTGTTTGATTATTTGAAATGCTTGTGTTTACAAACTATACGATTACCATTGAATCAAAGTCATCCAAGTATAGGAAAACTAGAACCTTTATATAAATTGTTTCAAAGAGAAATGGCGCAATTACATTAGAAATCAATTAAAATCAATTAGAATAAAAAAACTGATGAGTCTTATTTTTTACACTTCGATTTCATGATGAGAGAAATACTAAGTTCGAATAATTCTTATGGGATTAAAGTAGTTTACAAAATATCCTGATGACTAATTTAGACATTGATCGTCGTAGAGTATGCTGAAAACCGGGTGTGTCGTTCTGACTTACACATGTAAAACAAAAAACACAAAGCCACAAGAAATTAAATTATATATACCAATGTTGGATTAAGTTGAATAATTTAATGAATTATAAGTGATTTCTACAAACGATAATCAAATCAAAAAACCAATCGATTATAATAGATTCTAAGAATAATCTATTAAAATTTGTTATCTACTTAATAGTCTAAATAATTAATAAGAAATTGAATCGATCAGAATAGATTGGATTTTTCAGGGATTATTTCAATTATATACTGAATAGCAGATTTTAACAGATTATTCATAGAATCTATTATGATCGATTGGTTTTTTTCTAGACATTTCAACTTATTGCCAAACGAATCGGTTTTAAATGATCAACATCTGTAGAAATCATTTATAATTGATTAAATTATTCAGTTTAATCCGACATTGCACATATAACCAATTCTTCTTGATTTTTCAGAGAATAATCAGTTTTATTCTAATTTATTGTGCGTTTTTCTTTTACATGAGATATTAATACTGATTAGATTTCTAATTGCTTACTTAGAGCTATTCGAAGGAAAACAAATTTCAATATATTATTCGCAATAAGTCGGATTATAATAGATTGTTTTCAAAATCTATGAATATTAATTAGGTTTCTAATCGATTGTTGGTGAGAAAATCGTTTATTATAGATTAATTGGAACACATAAGAAAATTGGTTAGATATATAATCGGCTATTTAGAGTTATTTGAAAAATAATGGATTTCGATAAATTTTTCGAGAATAGATTGATTAAAATAGACTGTGCCTGGAATCTATTAGAATTGTATTTTCTCTTCTAATGAATTATTTCATTTGTTCATCACATAAACAATTAAAATAAATGACCGATAGAATGAGAATATTGAAAATTTTATTATTTGCCCTTAGCATAAAACTTTTAGAAATAAAAAGTATTCTGTGACTTTTCAAAGATTATAAGAGTAACGAAAAACACTTTCGTTCGAATAGTAATGTTTTCTTTTTTTTATTTCTTTGATGAAATACAATTGTTAACATGATCTTTCTATCTAAAAGCTAACAAATTGGTAAAACTGAATTATGGACAATAGCATTCTTCAATAAGCATAATATGAGTATCATGTTCTTCGCTAGAATTCGACAGTTCTCAAAATTACTTGGAACCGAACTGGAATTGCTGGTTATGATTAGAAAAAACGAAAAAAAAACGATTCCTTCTTTGTTTCGTAAAATCTGTTCTAGAAACCGATAATTTTACGATTATATCAATAATATCAATCGAGTAATAGATTTCTTTTTTTTTCGAATTCTCATTTTTCAATTTTAAGATTGTTCATGTTTATTATTTCATTAGAAAAAAAAACTACTTCTCCAAATAGTTAAAAAAAATGGAAAGATCAAGAAGGAAAATACTTTCATACAATATGCAGGTATGAAACTATCAATATGAATAGTCCAAAACAAAATTCGACTTCCTCATTTTCTTTATTTTCTTCGGGATAATCTATACTACGAACACAATCATCTCTGTCACTCATTTTTAAATTTCTTTATAGTTGTTGTAGTAGTAGATTGTTCTTCACTTCTATAGAAGATCGTAGAAGAAAGGTAGTTGTTCGACAAGTTTTCTATTGATTTCATTTGTAGGTGAATCCATGGAATTAAAGGTAATAGAAAAACAAAAATTCTTTTGACAAGTGAACTTTGGAGATCCATATCATTCTCTAGGAATAACTCAATGTATTTGTAATAATTAGATATGTTAAAGATCTGAACTAGTTTAGCATATGATTTATTCTTCGACGTTTGTTATAATGTTAGACATTTTTCAAGTAAATATACCTCCGAACAGTTTTTATTTTACTAGAAATAGATTCAGAACATTTTAAACAATGAACAAACCTAAACTTTGAAAAAAAATGCTTCTTTTCTTTTTCAAAATTTCGACAAAGTACTGTTTAGTTCGATTCACCATTTATGATATTTTGAATCTATTTCCAACAAAATAAAAAGAATTTCGAAATAAACATTTTTATCAAAACATCAGAAATTAAAAGCTCTACAAACATTGAAGATTTCACCCGATTTTCTAATGTAGTTGAGGTCGTCAACATATTCAATAATAAATACATTGAGTTGTATCTAAAAGCAAAAGGATATAAATCTCCAAGCTTTATTTCCCAAAAAATGCTTTTATCATTATCATTAATTGTTATCAATGATGTTACTTTAAACTAGAATGTCAAAATTAAAAAAAAACAACATTCTTTTCCATCCATACCAGTATAAAAACTATACAATGTACTACTATAGCGATCATGAACATTTTTGACTGAAAATGATGCTGGATTGGAAGAGTTTCTTAGTAACTATTAAAACAATTTTCGATTTTGAGTTATAGAAATTGAAAAAATCGAGTATCGGTTCTATTTTGCTGCAAGCACAGGATTTTATTCTTCGCCCACATCCAAATGGTCGTCCTTGTGACAGGAGAACGAAAGAAAGAAAGAGTTGTAAAGAACTTCGTTAGTCTTCTTAGAGAGACACAAAGATTTTTTTTTGTTCTTTCTATTAATACCTATTTTTCTTGGGTTGCTATGAGAATACGCTTTGTTTCCTATTGAAAGATTTCTAATCGTACATTGCAAAAGTATTCGTGAGAAAAGTCCACATCAAAGAAAACTGAGGAAACAAATGCATTATCGTTGTTGAAGAAAGAAGAATCGAAAAAAATAGAATCACAATAGAGTGAATATTATTGCTGTCTGTTTTTTTTCCAACATAATAATCTGTTTGAGCAACTAGAGAGACCATGTGTTTGAAATTGATAAGATTTCAAAAGCAAACAAAATCTTTCTGTTTCTTTTTCAAGACATTTGTTAAAACGAAT